TGACGACACCCAAATTTACCTCTCCACCCCTCTCCTCACCCCCACTATCTCCGCCCGCATCACTCACCTCCTAAACGACATCTCAGACTGGATGTCGCTCCATTTCCTCAAGCTTAACCTCTCCAAAACCGAACTCCTCATCTTTCCCCCTGCCCCACACCCCCCCATCCTATCCATCACCACCACCAACACCACTATCATTCCCGCCCCGCAAGCCAAAGTCCTTGGCGTCATTCTTGACTCGAACCTCTCCTTCCAACCTCATGTCAAATCACTTACAAACACCTGCAGGCTCCATCTCCGCAATATTGCCAAGATACGTGCCTTCCTCACCCCAGACACCACCAAACTTCTTGTACACTCCCTCATCATCTCACGCCTTGACTACTGCAACTCTCTTCTCACCGGCTTACCCCAGTGCAGGCTCTCCCCGCTCCAGACCATCCTGAACTCAGCGGCCAGACTCATCCACCTCACCACCCGCTCCACCTCTGCCACCCCCCCCTCTGCCTCTCCCTCCACTGGCTCCCGATTGTCCAACGCATCAAATTTAAACTTCTAATCCTGACCTACAAAGCCGTTCATAACACTGCCCCTGACTACCTCACCAACCTGATCCCCAAGTACCACCCTACCCGTACCCTTCGCTCCTCACAGGACCTCCTTCTATGCTGCTCCCTGGTCTCCTCCTCCCATGCACGACTGCAGGACTTCTCCAGGTCCTCCCCTATCCTCTGGAACTCACTGCCCCAATCCATCCGACTGTCGCCTTCCCTCCCCACATTCAGGCGCTCCCTCAAAACCCATCTCTTCAGGGAAGCCTACCCCACCCTCACCTAACAGCCATTCTCCCTCATTCCTCCCACCACTTCATCCCCCTCAGCCACTTCCTATTGTTCCACTACCCCCTCCCTCCTAGATTGTAAGCTTGAAAGAGTAGGGCCCTCTTACCCTTCGTACGCTGTCTGTTTTTGTTGTACTGTGCCATGTATTGTCCCCCCTATTGTACAGCGCTGAGCAAACCCTTTGGCGCTATATAAATTTGATGTAATAATAATGTAATAATGTTTATTGATTGCAAGACTTTTAATAAAGAAAAATTGGGAAGAATGCTCCTTACATTGGTGGCCAGTAGGAAGAATGTTCCTTATACTGGTGGTCAGTGGGAAGAATGTCCCTACAATGGTGGTCAGTGGGAAGAACATACCTTACACTGGTGGTCAGTAGGAAGAGTGTTGACCCTTACAATGGTGGTCAGTGGAAAGAATGCTCTTACATTCATGGTCATTGGGAGGAATGTTCCTTACACTGGTGGTCACTGAAAATAATGCTGCTTACATTGTTGATCAGTGGGAAGAATGTCCCTTCATTTGGTGGTCAATGGGAGGAATGACCCTTTCATTGGTGGTTAGTGGAATGAATGTCCCGTACATTAGTGGAAATAATGTCGTTTACATTGCTGGTCAGTGGGAAGAATGTCCTTTACATTGGTGAGCCGTAGGAAGAATGCCACTTGCAATGGTGGTCAGTGGGAAGAGCATACCTTATACTGGAGGTTGGTGGAAAGCATGTCCCTTACAATGGTGGTCAGTGGAAAGAATGGTCCTTGCATTGGTGAACATTAGGAGGAATATCCCTTACACTGGTGGTCAGTGGAATGAATGTCCCTTGTATTAGTGGGAAAACTGTCCATTACATTGATGGTCAATGGGAAGACTGTTCCTTACATGACTGCAGTGCTAGATTGATAGCACTGTACAAAGCAGTAAAGCCCTAGTTGGCTTGGGCCTTGCCTCTTCCAGTCTGTTCTTTTGTACAATAAATTATAGAGAGCTAACAAAAATGATAAATTTATATTTACACTATCTGTATTTAAAAATACATTTTGATGTTTTTTAAAACTCTGACCTTGATGATGTACATCTGCCTTGGGTTCATTTGCAAAAATGGTGCAGTAGAATATGGTTAGAAATTATTTGCTTTAGATTTCAGTACAGATTTTGCTGCTAATGGGTTATATAAAATATAAATAAAGTCATGTGAAAAACAAAACAATTAATATACTGAACACTATTATTACATCTCTACAATATGAAATTATCAGAACACAATATTTTTCACAATAAGAGTCCTTTAATGAAAATCAAAATCAAAACCAGGTATATTTATCATTTAAATGAAATGCAATGCACAATTCTATTTAATTGCACCCAACATGCAAAATGAGGTGCCCTGAGGATGATATTTTTTTAATGGAAAGAACACCATGCTCAAAAGCACAACATTCCATGATTCTGTTCTCTTTTTATACACCTGCTAGAGGCTTGGAGGTCAGTTTATTAAACTATCTGCAGAACTGTAGGAAGTGAAAGCATAAGAGGGAGATTAAAGGACCTAATGTGTACTCTCCAGCAGTTTGCACTGATTAAGCCTCATGTCAAAGTGCTCCTTGAAAGTTTATTTTTACAAATGGTGAGCGAGATGCACGTATAACACATCAGGAACGTCATTACTGATCTGCTTATTACCCTATCTAAACATAACCGACGGTATAATATTTAATAAAGCATTTGATATTGCAAGCAGTGTGTTCCTTATATTAGCATTATCAGCTGTGTGTGGTCCAAGCTAAATTGCTATTTCCTTTCATTAGACCTTGTAAAACAGGTCTCCATTTATATACAGTCTTGTGTTTGATTACATTTAAAAAGTCTGTGTGCTTTACATGGGATTTATCTCTACCATGTGATATGAGGAGGCCATTAGGGGTTTGAGATTTGGTTTAAATTGTATCAGAAACAATGGGAGTCATTCTTTGAGTCATTAATCAGAAGGAAGCCATCGCTGAAAGCAGAGTGGAGTTCATATTTTATATAACCTTTTAGTATTCCATTCATGATTACTACATGGTATCTAAGAGCTTATGGAACAAAATAAAAAAGGAAGCTAACAGAAATGACTGATTTATTGTTTAAAAGATATGTCTTCTCTCTCTTAAATTTGGCTTGATGCTGGCAGATGGATTCACTTTATGATTTTTATACCTACCAAGGACTCCAGAGTTTAGGTTAGTACACTTGATTTCCTAGATCCATTCAGCTGCCCCCTTGTTAGTAGGGGATTCCACATTCAGTAGAGATTGACTATTTTTATTGGATTTGCATTTCAGGAGATGCAAATGGAAGAGAGAAACCTGCTTACCTTGAGGGAGGCCACCATGGTGCACCAAGATGAGATCTTTGGTGTGGAGAGATGGCCTCTGGAGCACTTGAGATGTATCGAAATGTATTTATTACAGGTACTTATATAGCGCCATCAATTACGCAGTGTTTTACATATATATTGTACATTCACATCAGTCCCTAACCCTCAAGGGGCATACAGACTAAAGTCTCTAACTCACATTCACACACTAGGGCCAATTTAGGCAGGATACAATTAACCTACCAGCATGTCTTTGGAGTGTGGGAGGAAACCGGAGTACCCAGAGGAAACCCACACAGGCAGAACATGCAAACTCCAGGCAGGTGGTGCCATGGTTGGGATTCGAACCAGCAATCCTAGTACTGCCAGGCAGAAGTGCTAACCATTTAGCCACCGTGCTGCCAAATCTGTGTGTTGTTTGGTCAGGTGGCTGAGGAAATGTATACTTGAAAAATAATAAAAAAGGTCTATTTTCCTTTTCAAGCTAGCTTCATACAATAATCTGAACCCCCATATATGTTTATGAAAATTGTGTTGAAGTCTCCCTGCACCAAGACTTTGGAGATCAGAACCAAGAGGAGGTGTGGTCTGTAATCTCTCCTCCTCCAGCTCATCCCTCTGGCCAATGAGCGTGTAAGTTATTGTCACTGTTATTGTTCTTTTTTCCATATTTGTCACAATTACCTGTTTGTTGTATGCATATCCTCATGGTTGTTCTTAGTGCTGCTCATGTATTGTCAATGGTTGCATGTTTTTTCTTACATATTTGCAATGATAGTCCATTTGCTGCTGCTGTGTATTGTCCACATATGTGTGATGACTGCCAATTTGTTGCCATACATTGCAAAAATTGCCTGTATATTTTAGAAATTCACTCGTTTGTTGCTAATGTGTTGCCCAGTTGTACCTTATATACAAGTGTACTAATTTTGTACACTTGTATTGTCAGTACTCTTTGTTTAGATGAGCATATTGCTAGATTATGATCCTCTGTATGTCTGTCAAACCCTGCCTCTTGAGTTTTCAATATATTTTGGCTCTGCTCCCAATTACCAGTATGTTTATTGTCTCCAGAGACTGCACTACCCTTAAGTTCTGCAAAATTTCAGACTCTACAGACTTATTTATTAGTACTGCCCATATTAAAATGGCCCCTGAGTTTATCAAGGGCAGCAGGGTAAAATGATACAGCTGCTCTCCTGATGAGACCTACAGAGGCTGTAGAGGAATATCAGTTCCCCCTATCCTCAGCTTTCTCTGCATTGTGGCTGCTGAATAGCGCCGCCTGTGCAGGGAGGCTGAACTACATCTGCCTGCAATCTAGTAGTACAATCAGTATTTAGTAGTACTCTTAATCTTGTGAAGAAGCAAGGTAAGGAAAGTCAGATTCTGCATTTTGTTCTTTTAAAACTGAATGCTTTATTTTCAGGAGTGTTCTACTTTTATGTCTACATGCTCTTTGTCCTTCCCCATGGAAATGTGGCTACTGGAAGTTAGGTGTGAATGCCTTTGCTATAAATATTTAAAATCTTAGTAGTAAAAGTGACACCTATCATAATTATCCTACAACATACTCACTTTAGAGTGGTCATATGCACAAAGATACACTATATTGCCAAAAGTATTGGGACACCCCTCCTATTCATTGGATGCAGGTGTTCCAATCACCTCCATGGCCACAGGTGTATAAAATCAAGCACCTAGGCATGCAGACTGCTTCTACAAACATTTGTGAAGGAATGCGTTGTTCTCAGGAGCTCAGTGAATTCAAGCGTGGTACCGCGATAGGCTGCCACCTGTGCAATAAGTCCATCCATGAAATTTCCGTGCTACAAAATATTCCACAGTCAACTGTTAGTGGTATTATAACAAAGTGAAAGCAACTGGGAACTACAGCAACTCATCCACCAAGTGGTTGGCCACGTAAAATGACAGAGCGGGGTCAGCACATGCAGAAGTTGCCAACTGTCTGCAGAGTGATTAGCTAAAGACCTCCAAACTTCGTGTGGCCTTCAGATTATCACAACAACAGTGCGTAGAGAGCTTCATGAAATGGGTTTCCATGGGCGAGCAGCTGCATCCAAGCCTTACATCACCAAGTGCAATGCAAAGCGTCGGATGCAGTGGTGTAAAGTACACCGCTACTGGACTTTAGAGCAGGGGGGATATGTGCTCTGGAGTGACGAATCACGCTTTTCTGTCTTGCAATCCAATGGATTTGTCTGGGTTCGGTAGTTGCCAGGAGAGCGGTACTTGCCTGACTACATTGTGCCAAGTGAAAAGTTCAGTGGGGGGAAATTATGGTGTGGATTAGTTTTCCAGGGGTTGAGCTTGGCCCCTTAGTTCCAGTGAAGGGAACTCTTAAGGCGTCAGCATACCAAGACAGCACAGTTTGTCTGTATGGTACCAAAATAGATATTTTGCCAAATGATTAATGTGAAGTTATAGTATAGTGGATTGCCTACACATCACACATACCCATACCAATGTGTCATAATGAATCAAACATAAATATAATACTGTTGCGCTCTATTGACAAATTAAAAAACTGTTGCCAAAAAACAATAATAACAATATTCCAATAAATAAGTGTCCATATGCAATATCACTTTTCCCAAAATTAAGTGTCCATATATTCCGTGAAAAAACTTTTTCCAATATTGTGGACAGAATGATTCGTGTTCGATTCACTACTGTTTGCGTAGTAATGACAAACTTGCGTCCACCTTCGCCAGTTGTGCTTTCACCTGGTAAATATGATCAAACCGTTAAGTGAGGTCATAAATAGCTTGTGTCTGTTGTGTTTGCACTGAAACTGGATGGGATTGGGGATCTTCAAGGTTTGGGATCCCCTCACTTCCTTAAGACTCGTCCTCCATTGGTGTATATACCATAAAGAGTAATGAAAAACATAGTGCCTTATCTTCTTTTAAAACATTTATTGAACATAAAGTATTGCACTCACATGTAAATGCTATTAAAATCGCTTTAAAATATGATCCACAGTGTTTGCTAGCTTTCAAATCTGTATGCTTGCTGTGTGGCTGTCTGTCTCCTTAAGCGTTGTAACGTCAGAGCCCCTCCCCAGTTGGTCTGTATGTTATAGGAGGAAGGTGCATTGTATATATACACTGCATGTTGAAATGCGTTTTTATTACAAAATATATAAAAAATACTTGTAAAACTAAATTTAAAATATACTGTATGTCTTTAAAAATCCAAATCTACATTTTTGGAATATATATATTATATATATATATATATATTATATATATATATATATATATGTAAAAATATATGTTACAATGCGTTTTTTATGTTAAAAAATACTGAAGAATATATTTAAAAAAATATATATTTTTTAAAATATTTTTCATATATTTTGTAATATATAAAAAACACATTTCAACATGCAGTATATATATATATATATATATATATACTTACACATACACACATATATATATATATATATATATATATATATATATGTGTAAATGTATTCCAAAAATGTAGATTTGTATTTTTAAAGACATACAGTATATTTGAAATGTATTTTTTTTATATTTTTCATATATTTTGTACTAAAAACTAATTTCAAAATGCAGTACATACAAAAATTTATTGAAATGTATTTTGAAATATATTTAATATGGCCAAATTTGTAGCATTTCAAATATACGTCAATATATTTGGGAAGAGTACACTATTTTCAGTGGTTCAGGAAACATAAAGGGGCCTATATATATTAAAAATTTGCTGTGTACATGCCATAGCATTTGCACAGCCATCTCAAGTAATCCGTATAATGTGTCTAATCAGCATTTCCCATGATCGTCAGCTCCACGGCCACTAGTTGGAGCCAACAATCGTAGAACCCACACATATTAGACATATAACAGATTTTTCTTGACGTTTGTGGAAATTCTGAGGCATCTGGACAGTTATTATTTATATATTTATTTATTTATCTATTTTTAAATAAAGCCAATAGACTTGAATTGTAAGAAGTAGCAGTATAGCACAATGATTTTGTTGCACTGCAAACAGGAAGGAGAGCCTGCCTATGTAACAAGAAATATGGCTACCCCTGTATAGATATATAATTACAAACTGCAGATAAAAACATTAACAAATTGTGATTAGAATATTTACATTAAATTAAATGTAATGTATATCTTAAACATATATCTTGAAGGGTAACTCTACTTTTGTGGGAAAAAAAATTGCAAATAATAAAAAATAATACAGCCTATACAATTACGACTCAAGTCATATTGTAATTAAATTTAAAATTTTATTATAAACTACCTTTCCTTTCCAATCTGCAGTGCTGTTATTTTCTGTAAAATGCAATGCAGTATGGCTACCTGGAAGCATTCTGTACACAGATAGTGTACACAACTCCACTTGAAAATGTCAAGTCCTGCTTGAGTGATTGGCTTACTGATTTTCCCAGAAGTCTGTACAAAGATACAAGTCAGATTTTTGGCATCCCCCTGCAACAAGAATGCCATTTTTGGTGAGGTACTCCCAAAGGGAAATCACATTTAAAGGGATGCAGACCCTGACACTTTCCTCATTAGAGTCCTGCAGGTGCAGCAGATGATTGATTATTATAAAACCACTCCCATACAGATTCATTCTGCACATGGACACAGACAAACAAACAGCTATTTCTTCAGAATAAGAAAAGGTAGGAATCTGCTACAAAGTTTGTTAAAATCCCTGCAATGTACATTGATCACCCAGAGAGGAATGTTTTTTGTTTTCAAGAAAAGTGGAGTTACTCTTTAAACATGAAAGATATATCTTAAAATTTTTGAAACAACTATACTTTTACTGTAATCACTTGCCCTCCAGAGGATTTACCCCCCTTCCTGACCAGGCCATTTTTTGCGATCGGTGCTGTGTTACTTTAACTGACAATTGAGCAGTCATGAAACGCTGTACATAAATACAATTTATGTCATTTTTCCCCACAAATAGAGCTTTCTTTCAGTGGTATTTGATCAACTCTGTGTTTTTATTGTTTGCACTATAAACAAAAAAAGACCGACAATTTTGAAAAAAAACAATATTTTTTGACTTTGTGCTATAAACATATACAGTAAAAAAATTTAAAAAATCAAATTTCTTAATAAATTTAAGCCAAAATGTATTCTGCTATGTCTTTGCAAAAAAAAATCTCAATACATGTAAATTAATTGGTTTATGTGAAAGTTATAGTGTTTAGAAATGACGGTATAGATACTGGAATTTTTATTTAATTTTTTTTATACTAGTAATGGTGGCGATCAGCGGGTATTCTGCCACTGGAGGGGGGGGGGGACTGACTAGCTGCCACTGACATCCTCAGTGACCCTAATACAGCGATGAGTGCTAATAAAAAGCACTGACACTGTACTAATGACACTGGGCGGGAAGGGGTTAACATCTGGGGAGATTAGAGGGTTAACTGTGTGCTGTGTGCTGTTTTACATGATGTGCTGTGTGCTGTGTTTTACTAGGGAGACAAGCTGCTTTGTAATTCTCTGCTGTGCAGAGAAATACAAAGCAGCATGTCCGTGCTGGCAAGAAAGAGACCTGTGTTGTTTACACACAGGTCTCTCTCCTATCAGCTTTCCTCGACAAACACCGGGTGCCAGTGGGGAATCTGTGTGCTGTTTTTACATTATGTGCTGTGTGCTGTGTGTGTTTTACTAGGGAGACAAGCTGCTTTGTAATTCTCTACTGTGCAGAGAAATACAAAGCAGCATGTCCTTGCTGGCAAGAGAGAGACCTTTGTTGTTTACACACAGGTCTCTCCCCTGTCAGTTTTCCCCGATGATCACGGGGGTGCCGGCGGGGAATCTCCGGCTGGGACCCAGAGATTGACGTCTCTAGCCGCCATTGGTGGCGTGGGCAGGGTGGCGCGTGTGCTCCCTACACGGAAATGCAAATCACATATATATCTATACGTGATTTTGGGCAGACCTGCCGCCCTGTATCAGTACTTCTACTATAGAGTGGCAGGCACGTGGTTAAAAAACTTTAAACCCCTTGTAACAAAAAGAAAATCATACTTCAAAGACAACTTCATGGGAATACTTATTTAAGTAAAAATGCACAGGTTATCGCAGATATATTAGTCAGCACAGCCACACAAAGGTTCTGGTATATACTGTATAAGTGCCTGATAATTGCTTCACTTGTTCTGTAATATCCGTGTGCTTTCTTACAATTTAATCTTGTTTTTCATTTCAGCTTTTTCCTCCTCCATGCTCGTCATTAAGATATTCTTAACAACCCATTCAGCTCATGTGCCCTTCTCCTCCCTCGGAAAACCATTTGCCCTCTGTCATTTTAACATTCTTTGAAATCAACAGCCTATGAAAATTACAGTGTAACATCATTCACTTTTGTAATGACAAACACAGCCAGAAATGTGAATTTAATCATGAGGCAGTAATTCACAATGAAGACACATATTAAATATCCAGCCGTGCTGTAAAACCAAGCTGGTTGTTCCACATGCCAACATAACTTCATTCCATGAAGCAGTTGGAAAGATAATGTGTGTCATCACATGAATGGAGAGGCTTTGCTAAATTGGAGCTATTGAGGCTTCGCTAAGTCTAAGTATGTGCAAAAGAACAAGTGCACTGCTCTTCTGTCACCAATGAAATATCAAGCTGGCCGGACGACTGATGTGTAGTAAGAGACCACTGCTGGATAGGTACAGGTGATCACAATATAGACCAGTGTTTCTCAAACTTTTTTCAGGCAAGGCACCCTTTAAAATTATGGACAGTCTTGAGGAGCCCCATTTTAAAATAGGGTGCCGCAAGCCTGTCCATAATTTTAAAAGGGCACCCCATTCTAAAATGTGAAAAACACAAGAATAAAAAAAAATACCCTAAGCACAAATGATCTTAAGAGAAACTACTCCAAGAACTTTCAACCCTAATAAAAAATACCATAAGAACATTTGATTCTAGGAGA